GTCAAGGTGGCAGCATACCGCTCTGGGGAACCCGAAATCAAATTCGGACGGTTCGAAAACCCCAAGAATTTTTTTGGAGGTGGTGAAGCTGCATGACCTCCATTGCATCCAGTTACCACATGTGTTGGGCATGAGTATCATCCAGCAATGTGGCATGACAGACAGAGGAATCATGCCAAAAAAGGAGTGAATCACACCAGCACATAACAGAGCATACAGACTGGCAGATTTGCCAAACAGCCCATCAGGACCAGTTTTCCATGGCATGTGATATCCAAAGCCACTTGTTGCCATCAATGGATGCATCAGTGTCCACCTGAACCATTCACAACAGGTTAGATGAAGTCAGGCTGCCATTAACCACTTGACACAAGGCTGCACGCCTGGCATGGTGTTGTCGTCATCACAACTGGACCACTTAATGGCATAAGCAACAATGTTAAATTTTGTCCCAAACCTTAGTGTCACCTTAAAAATACTACCAATCATACCAATAACTGTAGCTAGTGGGAGAAAGAAGTTTCTCTAAATAAAAATTAATTTAAACTTTTTATATTCCACTACCACACAAAATCATCTTAATAGTTTGGCCATTTTGGCGCTTACTCATGAAACTGCCGATCAAGTAAACTTAAAAAAGTTAATAAAAAAAGTTTCTTTTGATTTTAGTATAGTTGATGTACTTTTGTTTAGTTTTTATAGGATATAGGATTTTTGTTTGATCGTACAATAATACATTTTTGTATTATCATTAAAAATGTATCTAGTTAACAATTCGTAACTAGGTACAGGTACATTTTAATTTTTACTGTTTTGTACTACTTGATTGTTAATTTTATATTACATGTTTCTCCCTAAATAAATGTAAGGGGCGGCAATTTGTCTTTTTGTCATGGGGTTTGTGCCTTGTCAGGATGAGCAGACCACTTGGAGTTTTCTGGGTTTTCTCCATGTCTGTAATGCCTGAATAGTTAGTTACCCTTAAAAAGACCTCCCAGAAGGCATCCCCATAGGCAGATTACCCAAGTGTTGCATTGCCATAAGTTAACAAAACAAACAAACACTTTGATGTCACTTCCATCTATAGAAATCTAGAAACGTAACTTGCATCAGCCACAAGACATCTCTGACATTTCCTGAGAACACTCTTCTAACAAAAAACTTCATTCTTTCAGACTGAACTTTGGAGACACCATGTGTTAAGTTCAGGGTAACATGTGTGAGACATGTGTCAGGTGTGTGGATGTCGGCAGGTGGTGATGGACAGTCCACAGCTTGATCACACATGTCGGGTGGGTGAGGTGATGGTGTCCCCGGGAGTGTGGGGGAGATTGTCCCGCCTAGTTAGGGGTGTGTAGAGTGAGAGAGTGTGTGTACTGACCAGGGAGCTAAAAAAAGTGAGTAGCTGTGTGGCTGGTCCAGTATTGTAACTATCAAAAAATGGTGGAGTGCCAGAGAGTCACTCGCTGATTTGGAGATATTAAAGTGATTTTTTGTGTTGTTGTTGTTGGAAAGGAAGCATGTACTGTGTTCTTTAAGACTGTCTAAACGAAAACATTCTACACCACCATCATCACAACATTTGTATACAACACTATGTAATAGAGCAGTGATGCCATATTTCCTAATATGTGATTCATCTCTTTTTGGATTCTGAACAGTCTGTGGACCACAGTTTGATAAACAGTAGTCCACAAACTTTTATTGATTAAACAGAAACCAAAACTATTAATTAATCAATGAAACTTGATTCATAGTCCTGGTCTCTGTTTAATACAAATAGTTAGAGATATGATAAAAGTCACTAGTCTTATGATTATAAACCTGTTGTAAAGTTATATCCATTTCATTTTAACATTTTTAGTTAATTTTTAAGAAATAATTATTTTCACTAGCAAGACATTTTATTGTGTCACTTTGTTGTTCCACATAATCAGAAAAAAAATTTACTAACAACTTTGTTTTACAATGTAATGTACAACAAATGTATTATAGTTATTTACTTTCAAAAAGTACTGGTTTGTGAACATAAGAACTCTGAATAGCACAGCTCCGACACACATTACATCTGTTGTTTTAAATAAAACATTTTATTTTCAAACAGAAGTCTTATATATACAGGGTGTATCAGAATGACATTTTAAAAATTTGGGGGATTGTAGAGGATGAAATTTTGAACGTTTTGATATAAGGAACCCATAGCCAGAAATTTGAACTAAAGTGTCTACAGCGGTAGGAAGTGCTTGACTGCCCTTCACTTTGTAGCTACCCTTCCGTCCATTGACGTCATGTTATTGTTCTTGACTTCTTCCTCTGAGGTTATGTAAAGTCCCTTGTGTATGCAACACCTGTAGGAACAGTTTTTGTATATCCAAACACAGTAAGATCTCTGTAAGTTGCCATGCTCCCCTCTGATGGTATGAAATGCTGTAAAATGTGCATTTTTACAGCATTTCATACCATCAGAGGGGAGCATGGTATCTTACAGAGAGTCGGATAAAACAATGGTTCATCGTTGCACATTATGTAACAAAGCTGGTGGTCGTCAAATTGAACATTTACTCTAAAGCAGAGCAGGCACTGATTCGATGTACAGTTTGATTGTACTCTACTATTTTGTCAATAAAACTTGTCATAAATACTGTATTCTGCTGTTTCATTCAGCACACCGAGTGCAAAGTGCTGTAGAAACTTTATATCACATTTCCGACTATGGGTTCCTTATATCAAAAACGTTCAAAATTTCATCCTCTACAATCCCCCAAATTTTTAAAACATCATTCTGATACACCTTGTATATATGTATAATTGCTATATAACGTTAGTTCAAATTTTAAAATAAAATGATTAGTTATAAAAAACATATACATATAAATTTTTGGAAATTTAGATAACAACTGTAACAAATAAAAATTTAGATAACAAAAATAACAAATAACACAATTATAAATGTTTAATCTGAACTTTAAAGTAATTCCATAATTTATTATTTTATTTTTCTTTATTATTAAAAATTAACCTTGAAAAATAAATTGTCCTTGTAAAATCTTAACTCAGTGAGTTTTGTTATAGAATATTATGATATGACCAGAAATATAACTAATGCATTATTTATCACACTGTGGTCTGCAGATTTTTCAGTCCTTTTGGACTCTGAAGAAATCCACAAGAGAGATGAATCATGTGTCAGGAAATATGGCATCACTGCTTTATTATGTAATGCCTCAAAATTTTACCCTCAAAAGAATGGCGTCTTTTGTGAGAAGAAAGTTCTCAGGAAATACTTCAGAGTTGTGACATGACTGAGGCACGTGACATTTCTAAACAATCACTGTCACACTACATGATCTTGCTACAGGTTGGACAGCACACATTTTGTACGCTGTCCATCCTGCTGCTCCATGATGAAAACAAGTTTAAGCAATGACATCTTGAATGATGCACACTCAGTAAGTAGTCTTACAATTTTCTTGTTTATAGCACTTTTTATATGAGTTACCCCAAAACATTCTACATATTTTAGAAATGGCTATCAAACATGTCTCTTTTAAAAAAGAAATTTAAAAAAAAATGTATAATAGTCAACTTCTTTAGTTTTACCAAACTTTTCATATATAATCAAAAATTAATGTTGCTCATATTTTGTTATAAGAATGTAACAAAATACGAGGATAGAACATCTAATTCAATAACCCAAAAACCAGCAAAATTGTCACTCTGTTAAGCAAACGTTATCATTCACTTTCAAGGGACATCTTCATGCTAAAGATCAAAATATAACTGTGCAATTTTTGAATGATTTGGTTTGTACGTCATCGCCTGCTGATCAGCGGAGACGATTCAAATCACATACAAAAGGAGAGCATGATTTTCGAACGATCCAATTCAGATACTTAGGTGCCTGGCAATCGATGAAGACAGTCCCCATATGAATTTGTGTAAATGCCAGTGTTAAAGCTCGCAAAGTTGTGCTCTCTTAGATTCCTATCCAAGCACAACTTTACTATCTCAAACTGTTGGAGATATACAAGGCAGTTTCAAATAAAAAGGCCATCAACTTAAAAGACGACGACACTTTCCCTAATGTGTGGAAAGTATTCCTCCACTCTCCTTAAACACTCACACACATTCCCACAGGGACAGTCACCGATCGGCAGGCACCCAAATATCCAAAATTGTTCGAAAACCACACTTATCTTTTGTACATTGTTCGAATCATCTCCACCAATTGGCAGGCAACAACGCACACAAACCAGATCACTTGAAAATTGTGCAGTTATATCAGTTGCGTTCGGCAGACTCGACAGTTCCGGAGCCGTCGAGTATTTTTATGCCAAATGCCCTCTACAGTAGCACTCTTTCAGAACACGTTTGGTGTTTTGATGTCACATTTGGCAGCATCTTTCATTTACGCTATCTATCGCTACCCAAAACCAACCGAGGCTTTTTGTTTCAACGCAACATCACTTATCATTCAGCAGATCCAGGTTGCTACATAACAGCTACCGATTTGCTCAGTCACAACTGTAGAGTCATTCATTTTGATCTTTAGCCCAAAGACGTCCTCCAAAAGCAGACGAAAACGTTCGCTCGACAAGCTAGTGATAATTTTGCCATTTTTTAGATTATCGAGTTTTAGACGTTCTTTGCACTCTAACAAGCATTCGGCAGTCGTCCACTAAAATACGAGGAATATTAATTTTACTACTTCATACACAAATTACAAAACAAAAAACTAAATAATTTTCACATAACAATTTATACAATCCAGACAGGAATATTTGAAAAAAATTCATCACTATTTTCTCCAAATCATATTTTTCAATGGAGAATATAGATCATCATCATAATACGAAGAAAAATGTAATCTGTCATATAAAAACAAATCGAATAACATTTATATTGGTCAAATATGGATTAGTGGAGAACGTATCAATCAATCTGTAACAAAAAAGATATGGAAATTAAAAACTGGATTTCACTCATTACTTAAGCCTAACCTCAGGATCTTCCCAATTGGATCCTTTCTTCTCTGTCGGTGCCAAATCTCTGTTACGACCCATTAGCTCATCCAATAAAGCTTTTGCCGATGCTAATGCCATGTTTTCTTTTTTGAAAACGAATCAGTTTTCAATCGTAAAATTAAAAATTTTTCTTCCCTTTCTTCTTACATGAACATCTACCGATCACAAAACAAAACGATGGAATATACTTCTCCCTCTGGTGTTAGCAAAATGACGGAGGAATATTATTTTTAATAATAATATTTATTTTAACGATAAAATTATATTTTACAGTATATATACTGTATTGAGTTACTAAAAAAGTTAATTGTTCGTATATATAATTATAATTATTTTCTAATTAATAATTTTATATTGGTTTAAAATGAAAGTTTTCAGATCTTTTAAACCTCAATCTACGAAAAATGCTTCGTATATAAATAGAATCGAAATTAATAATTTGTAAAGCGGAGAAAACAAGAATATTAAACTCATTTGTTCTAATTTTTTATGGAAACAAATTTTTAATTAATGTATATATCGATGGTCTAGGCCAGTCGCGAGCAAACCGCGGCCCGCGAGATCCTTATATGCTGCCCCTGCAATCTATGGCGGCTCGCCAGAAACTAAACTTAATTCGCTTGAGGTTCTCAGTCGGTAAAATTGCTTATCACTGATCTAGACTACAGACTCTAGAATAAAAACCTCATTAAATCACTGATTTCTAGCCCTTATATCCAGTGGCACGTTATGGCATCGTGGGAGCCAGGTAAATTTGAATTACAGGTCCCACATATAGTGTTGGCTTCATATATCTTTCTTCGGGGGAATTTTTTCGAAAAAATATTTTCTTATCAAAGATTGGTTTGGGACTCCTTGTTAGTGGGGCCCCAAGCAATTGCCCTTTTTGCACGTAGGATAAAGCGCCATTGCGCAAGTTTAACTCTTAAAACTTAAAAATACACTTGCTTTAACACCGAAAATTTATTAAGGTCAATGGTTTTAATTCATAATCGATAAAACGTGTTCAAAGCCAAAAATTTTTATTGTATTTTTTCACTTTCCCGGAATGTTGAAAATTTGGCGTTACAAGTTTTTCACTGTAGAAAGTCTAGAACTTTTGACTATCGACCACTTTAAGGATTCCTCATTCTCTTATCGATTAAAAAAGTCGATAAGAGAATTAGGAATCCTTAAAGTAGTCGATAGTCAAAAGTTTTCTTTGGCAACCGGATGGCCGTTAGGTAAAGCTTACTACTCTGGAGGACCCAGATCAAATTCGGACGGTTCGAAAACCCCAAGAATTTTTTTGGAGGTGGTCTTTTCCGATATTGTCAGGCCCCATTCCTTCACACCCAACCGTTTTATTGTGAGCCTAGTCGAATCCATAACAGGCTTACTAAAAAAAAGGTCCTCTTAGTGCCCACAGGTCAAAAAGACTCGACGGTCGGATGGCCGAGCGGTCAAGGTGGCAGCCTACCGCTCTGGGGGACCCGGGATCGAATCCGGACGGATCAAAAAATATCCAGGAATTTTGCGGGGGTGATCCGTTCGGACATGTTGGGCCCCGTCCCTCATCATCCGGTCGCCCCATTGTAGGCCTGGCCGAACCCATAATGGGCCTGCTTTAAGAGGCCCTCTTAGTGCCCACAGAGCGGAAAGAGTAAAAAAAAAAAGGGGTCAGAAAGACTTAATATAAAGACCTCCTCTTCTTTTCTAATTTAATTACAGTAGAGCGTCGTTTATCCGAATCAATTGGGGACTGGGGTTGTTCGGATAACCGATTATGTACGAAAAAATATATTAACCTATCCCATGTTGAAATTTTTCTCCGTTGCGTGTCGCTTCGTGTTGAATTTTCGTCAATATTAAGTTTAACGAAAACTTTTTAAAATAATAATCGTGGCTATTGTATCGTTAAAAATTATTATTTTTTTATTTTTTACAAACAAAATAAATATATTGAAAAATACAAAAACCAAAAAATATATACTTTAGAAGTTGATCTAGTATCAAAAACGTTCGATTCGGCATTACACACAGTCTTCAGTACAGTGGCTAGAAAATATAGTGTCGAAAGCGCTTATATTCCTCCATTATAACCGTTCGGTCCATACATCGAGGTTAGTGACGTCACAGACAAGGTGGCGCTGATGTCAATCGTAGTGCTACTTTCGCTTTGGCTACGTGATATCCTTTCTTACAAGAACATCGAAAGCGATTAAATTTGTGCTTGTAAAGTGAATAAATCCTTAGGAAATGGCTGAACAGAAACTTTACTGACTTGTGTATTTCTAATTTATAGATATTACTCTACTGTAATTTTTAATTCTTTTATTTTTGTCGAAAAGGGTGAGAAATCTACATGCATATTAATCTGTAATTTTTTAAGAGAGATTTTTCAAATATAAAGTGTATATGCATGGGTACTTGGCAGTAGACTAATAATCGTTTATTTGTACATACTTAATTTTGTAATTTTATATTGGGACAATAAAGTAACATTCTGCCTTTATATTTTATATACTGTGTAGAATTTAATTGTAATTTTAATATTGCTTTATACTATGTCACATAATACTGTGAACAGTATACAGTATTATGTAACTGATGGCATTTGCTTAATAAATTCTATTTTAGGCCCTCACAGTGGAAGAGGTTCACAAAGCCATATAAAACTTACATTTTATTATTAAAAATATGATAAATTCTGTATTTTTTTAGTAAATATGAATAAACCTTGTTGTTAATAAGGTAATAACAAGAGTAGATTACTCTTGTACTCTAAATAATACTTGTTTGTACAGCACTCAACAGCTGTAATGTAAAAATAGACAATACAGTGTAGGCTATTTGATTTAATAAGAATCTTAATTAGCTTTAATAAAATGAATTCCTTCATAAATGTTAATAAAGTAATACTATATAATAATTGATTGCTAGTGATATGATTTATTATCGATCTAAATTCTTTTACTTGGCTACAGCACATTTACTATGCTTAAAAATCCTACTTAAAACCAATATAAGCATAGGATGATACAGCCAGTGTAGCACAACGATTGACAGCAGCGCCTCTTGCGGCAACCTCCAATATAGGGACAGAAAATAAGCTCGATTTCGACACTATATTTTCTAGCCACTGTAGTCCTCAGAAAAACATCACACAAAAGTGCCAGTGCTGCCAGCTAAAACACACACCAACAAAAAAAAATATAGGAGTAGCCCAAGATATAGCCAAAGATTGCAGCGCCGCAGCACTAGCGAAAATTTAAATTTGCCGACTGGAATGCTATCGGATAACGGACTTTCGGATAAACGACGCTCTACTGTAATAAATAAATCTAATGAGCCAGCATTAACACACATACTGTTTTCATAAAAAGATCTATTTACAGTATGCAAATTTATAATATCCTGAACTGACATATACCAGTATACAACCCATTTGATTAATTTTTAATGAACCATTTGCAATCGACCCCCGACTAATTTTTGATTCCAAAAATGTGTTATCGACCACTTTGGGCTCTCCTGGTCTAGACACGTTTCTGTAAATAAGTCCTTACTTGTTTATGAAAACTTATTCGTCATATTTGCTAAGAAATAAAATACAATTTAATTTTGAAAAACAATTTAATGCCATTCAAAAACGGAATATAAACTATAATACAGTAGTATAAACTATCAAATGGGACATTCCAATTTTCAACGCGAGTGTTGAGTGTTGAANACTACCACACAAAATCATCTTAATAGTTTGGCCATTTTGGCGCTTACTCATGAAACTGCCGATCAAGTAAACTTAAAAAAGTTAATAAAAAAAGTTTCTTTTGATTTTAGTATAGTTGATGTACTTTTGTTTAGTTTTTATAGGATATAGGATTTTTGTTTGATCGTACAATAATACATTTTTGTATTATCATTAAAAATGTATCTAGTTAACAATTCGTAACTAGGTACAGGTACATTTTAATTTTTACTGTTTTGTACTACTTGATTGTTAATTTTATATTACATGTTTCTCCCTAAATAAATGTAAGGGGCGGCAATTTGTCTTTTTGTCATGGGGTTTGTGCCTTGTCAGGATGAGCAGACCACTTGGAGTTTTCTGGGTTTTCTCCATGTCTGTAATGCCTGAATAGTTAGTTACCCTTAAAAAGACCTCCCAGAAGGCATCCCCATAGGCAGATTACCCAAGTGTTGCATTGCCATAAGTTAACAAAACAAACAAACACTTTGATGTCACTTCCATCTATAGAAATCTAGAAACGTAACTTGCATCAGCCACAAGACATCTCTGACATTTCCTGAGAACACTCTTCTAACAAAAAACTTCATTCTTTCAGACTGAACTTTGGAGACACCATGTGTTAAGTTCAGGGTAACATGTGTGAGACATGTGTCAGGTGTGTGGATGTCGGCAGGTGGTGATGGACAGTCCACAGCTTGGTCACACATGTCGGGTGGGTGAGGTGATGGTGTCCCCGGGAGTGTGGGGGAGATTGTCCCGCCTAGTTAGGGGTGTGTAGAGTGAGAGAGTGTGTGTACTGACCAGGGAGCTAAAAAAAGTGAGTAGCTGTGTGGCTGGTCCAGTATTGTAACTATCAAAAAATGGTGGAGTGCCAGAGAGTCACTCGCTGATTTGGAGATATTAAAGTGATTTTTTGTGTTGTTGTTGTTGGAAAGGAAGCATGTACTGTGTTCTTTAAGACTGTCTAAACGAAAACATTCTACACCACCATCATCACAACATTTGTATACAACACTATGTAATAGAGCAGTGATGCCATATTTCCTAATATGTGATTCATCTCTTTTTGGATTCCGAACAGTCTGTGGACCACAGTTTGATAAACAGTGGTCCACAAACTTTTATTGATTAAACAGAAACCAAAACTATTAATTAATCAATGAAACTTGATTCATAGTCCTGGTCTCTGTTTAATACAAATAGTTAGAGATATGATAAAAGTCACTAGTCTTATGATTATAAACCTGTTGTAAAGTTATATCCATTTCATTTTAACATTTTTAGTTAATTTTTAAGAAATAATTATTTTCACTAGCAAGACATTTTATTGTGTCACTTTGTTGTTCCACATAATCAGAAAAAAAATTTACTAACAACTTTGTTTTACAATGTAATGTACAACAAATGTATTATAGTTATTTACTTTCAAAAAGTACTGGTTTGTGAACATAAGAAC